AGAGAGAGAGAGATGTACAACACCATACTCACGCTCCCACCACAATTTGTTACTGCACGTCGAGACGGACAGTCAATCTAAACATCTCATGTTCATTTATATACCATGTTATTGTCAACAATGAAAAGGTCAAATCCCGAAAACTGAAAACCAATGAGTCTTCAGGTCGAATGTACATTGGAACAAAGCGATCCCACAATCCTATATTTAAAACAGATGAGCACACACACGAAAACATTGAATTTCCACGTGAATAGGTCTCACCCCTCATTTCCTACACGCGTGGGATTGCTTACGCCCTTTCCGTCTTCTACCCCACCCTCATCGTTCGTCATCATGTCCTCAATATTCTGCGGTCGTGGAGAACCCCCTGCATTCCCCCCATTCCCGTCATCCCCTACGACCCCTCCCTCTGGTGTTGTTGTACATTGTGTGTCACCTTTGTTAAGGCATGTGGGCAGATCCAACGACATCCCCGTGCCGGCCATCCCAAGAGTGGACTCTGACTCCATCTTTGATGTGCCTGCGAGCGCCGCACCTGTCGCGAGGAGACTCCCGTATGTGGCGCCCGCACCCAACGGCTTGGCAGGTGACACATGTTCACCTTGTGATGCATCCCCCGTTGCGACAGAGTTGGCTCTGCTGGTGTTTTTGCCAGCGGGAGTATTCCCTGCCTTTGGCAATGGAGCCTTGACGCCTAACGTTGTCCCGCCATCTTCCCTTTGTTCACCCATCGTGTTCCCTGTGGCCGCCTCTGGCACAGGGGCGGCATCTCCTCGGGGGTCCACGTCCATGATCTCGAGGCCGGCTGTGCGCTGGACCTTCCAATCAATCATGCCGCAGGAGGGGCTCGATTGCAGCTCGTAAAACTTGTGTGAGTACTCCAACTGCCGAGCAGCTCGCAATGCGTCGAACAATTGTTTCGCCTTTGGCGCGATGGATGTTTCACTCTCCCTGGGGTTCTCCTTCCGACAGCGGTATATAATTGATTGCTTTGTCGTCTTCAGCCAGTTGTCGTTGCCCATGCGGGGAAACCGTCTCCAACCGTTTGAGAGATATTTCACCGCCATTTTCCACTCCCCGCCTTGGATGCATGGCTCGAAAATGTCGTCATGCCAAATGATATCATGACCCCACTTGTCCTCGCTTATGCGGACGTATTTGTCATCCAAGAAAAATACATAGTGTTCGGGTCCGCACAAAAGGTGGAAGGAATCGGATCACCCGGCGCCAGCTTTGTTGGCGGAGCAGGAATATCGAGGTCCTCGTCCTCATCGTCTTCCATAGGCGTGCACTCAACCTTGTCCACCCCCGAGGCCACACTGTGCGCATGTGGCAGGTTCGAGCATTCCTCTGATTGACCAGGTCCATATGCCGTGACGCCGTGCTCCGTGGCAACAGAGTGCCCATGCCACCCGGTTGCATTGGTGTCGTTCTCGTTCTCGATCTCGAGGTCGGAGTCCGACGAGTCTTCCTCGCTGTCGACGGGGTTAAAGCCTTCACCCGATTTAGCGAGGTCTGCATAGTCCTTAAACGTCAGTTGATCTTTATGAAGATCAAACCTCAAGATCTCGCAGCGAGCAACGAATGTCTCGAAGGCGCTAGTTAGAGCACCGTGATAATGTTTGAGGTGCTCGGTCACCTTGGCTTTTCGATATATGTATCCCCCATCAAGGCGTCCCTCTGGCATATCGCGGAACATGTATTCCCACACCTTCAGTCTCCTGGCTCCCAACTTGTGGTACGTGTCCCTGTTGCTGCGATGTGCGGAACGCGGTTTCTCGAGTCGGCAGGCGAATCTCCCATCCTTGACAAGTATGTCGACGAACTTTATCAAGTATGAAATGTCCTTTGCCGACTCATCACAGGCAATGACATTATTGCCTGCACGCAAAAACTCCCACACAAGTCCTGCATGTGCCCTGCCCAGCAAAAGCACACCTTCCGCCTCTCCGACAAATGAACTGCACAACTAGCGCAACTTGCCAGGTTTCCGCTCCCCAATTGAATATGCGGCACTTTCGTCGCCCTCGATGCCACCGTGTTTTCCTTGACACTTCCCAAACTTTTCCTCCACCAGATGCACCTTGGTGAGATCGTTGGTAAGCCGAGGTGCGACAGTTACTTTCTTCAAATCCCCTCCTTCAGCGTGCAGCACGATGGCCATGAGGTCCCGACTCGTCGTAGCGATGTTGCCGTACCTTGTGACGTCGCTCGCCGACCTGTCCACACGTTTCCACGACCCGGGGATGAGCTCGACGTCCTCCCAACGGAACAATTGGCGCAAGACATCGCTTTGCACCTTCTGCGGCGCGAAGAAGAAGAGGACCCAATTTGGACCACAACACTTCGCCATCATTGCGTACAATGCAGCGAAGTCCTGCGAGGTCCATGCACTGCTGAAATTTGCGGCCGAGATGTCCACGATGGCGGCCCTGCATGCCATTTTTTGTGCGGCTGCGACGATGTCGTCGGGCGCCGCCATAACCTCCTGCGGCCGCATACATACAGGAAGCATTGTCGTCTGCCTGCCGAGTTTTTCCCATACAAGATGGCGTGCACTAGAGGCGATCCGTTTCACCTCCGCTCGAAGCATATCGAGCTTATCGATCACGGTGTTTACAAAGATCTTGAAGTGAAACAGAGCCTCCTTGTACATCACTTCTGTAGGGCCCAAGCCCGCACCCTACCTTGCCTCCTCCACTCCAAGTCGCCGAGGGATCGTCTTCACCAAGCTGCTATGCAGTTTCTCCCGTTGCTTCTCCCATTCAACTGCGCACAGGCCGTTCGATGCATATCTCTCTTCCAGGTTCTTGTACGACATGAAGAAGTCATCGTTCCATTCGTCCTCTGCCCTTCCCTCAGTGCGAAACATGACGTAGTTGAATATGCGGACCATGCATCTTTCCTTGCGCATAATGTCGAGGAGGCACTCTGTGTTCATCCTCGGAGGCGGGACTTTCACTTTTGTTGCCACCACTTTCCCCGACATGAGGAGGATTAGCGCGACCTCTCTCTCACGGCATGTCATGTCCCCGAAGTTCTTGAAGTACGTAGGACACAAATCCTTCCAGGACACGGTGGAGCCCTTGAGACCATCTCTCGCATATATGCAGTGGTACAAAGTTCGTTGGCCCTTGCTCTCGTCTGTGTACGGGCTGGGCAGGCGCCCCTCCATCCTTCCTGGCATGTCAAGCGGGATCTTGCCGTCGCCGACCGGCAACTTACCGTCCTCGAACATGGCAAATAACTTCTCTACCAGCGGCCAAACCGTGTCGGTGGACATGGCGAGGTTCAGGTACCCCCGGAGTTTGTTACTCCAATCCTTGTTGTATTCGTTCTCGAGTGCCTGTTTCACGAATGCCTTGTCGCACGCCTTCCCCATGCAAGCCCTCAGGAAGTTCTACCACGTTTTTTTATGTGCGACGGTGACAGGATCCTTCTCACTGACCTTAGATTTGGGTGCCTCGGTCCTGTGGTTGTCGATCCACCATTGCCTCATATCACGCACAGCGTCGTGGAAGGACAACATCATCGCGCGATTCTCCCGTGTGTTGTCGAAGGCGGAGACATTGAAGTACCCCCGAGTGTGGTCATCATGGAAATAGACGACTCGCACTTTAGAGTACATGTGAAGGCCGTACACTTTAACCGCTGGGGAGGCCTTTGCAACCAACCGTTTCATGGCCTCGGCAGTATGCTGACCACAGACAGCATACCAGTCGAACTCCGCAGAATCTCTTTGTAAGAACTCGTTTGGCGTGATCCGCCTTCCCTGCCCACCGACAATGACGTTAGGGTCAACTGGCGCAAGAACGAGCTCAGGTCTATCCCATGCCCCCGGGTCAGCACCAATGGAGCTTTTTATGGCACTCTCGATGCCTCTCACAATGTTCTCGGACAACGCACGGTGGTTAAAAAGAATCCTCCCACGGGGAATGCGTTTGATCCTTGTGACGTCGACGTTAACAACATGGACGTCTTGTCTGGCAAATCCCTGTTCGTCGTATTCGAGAAAAAAACATCGTGTCGTGTCGAGGGGCGTGGCGCGCTGAACCAGCTCTTCAACGTCCTCGGGCATGCGAGGCCCCACCCCCTCGCCCTCATCCCCCGAGTTCTGCAGCTCAGGTGCCCTGGACCTCTGCGAGCCTTTCTTACCGCCGCCACGAATGCCACCTCCCCCCCCCCAACAGTTTTCCGTGCAGCCTGTGCTTCCTCGGATGCCGTCAACGCTCCGCGAGCTTCATTGATGGCGTCCGCCCTCACCTGTTTTGTTCGACCAGCAGGAGAGGTCAACGCTTCTCCCCTCTTTCTCTTTCCCCTTGATCCAGGTTCTTCTCTCCCACCCATCGCCTGGTCACAGGGCTGTGACATTCCGCGGGAACCCGAAGGCTGGCCACGAATATCGACCTCGTCACCAACGCGGTAGGTGTCATCCTCATCAACATCGTCTCTCTCCTCGTCCATGTCATCGTCCTCACCTTCAGCATCGCCTAGGTTACCGTCGTCCCCGTCACCACCGCCCTCCCCCTCCCAACCACCACTGTCCCCATCTCGGCCCTCGCATTCCTCGTCGTTGGAGGCATCTTCACCTCCATGGGGACGACGCTGGGGACCAGGCTGATAGCGCAAAGCTCCGTCGTCCAAGTCCGTGGCCTCGCTGGACTGCTCGGCCACGTCGAGACTTTGTCTCACAGAGGGAAGAACCAGAGTGGGAAGAGCTTGGACAACCGCATCCATCGAAGGCGTGTCGGACGTCACTTGTTTCCTCCTCGCAACCGTCTTAGCAGGCTGATCTTCGCGCCGTTTGGACACCGCGGCGAAGGGCACAAAAAGATAGTCAACTCGCTGGGCAGCAGGCAGTCTCGCGAAATGTTCCCCGTACTGCATAACGAAAGTCGCTAACTGATCCGTCAGGGTGTTGAACGGGACCAACGGTCTGCTAATCATGAAAGTGTTGTCGACAACGGGCAGGGAACCAGTCACGCGGTAGCCATTGGTTTTCAACAAGAGCTGGTCCGCTGGTAGCATTCGGAACTCCGCCCCGTTTCCCCGCACGTCAAACGCTTTCATCGAGAAAGCCTTGACTCCGTAGCCTTGGAAGAGTCGAAGGTCAAGAGACACTTTCTTGTCTTCCTTGACCGAATTTTTCCCATCTCTGTCGTACACAGACGTAAGGAAGAAGGTCCTAAACGTCCTGCCATCAACAGCGATCCTCCCCGCTTCCAATCTCTCCACCCCTTCGCAGGGGTACCAACTCTTGCCATTGTCGTCGATCAAGAAGACAATGGTTCCACAACCAGGTGTATGAAGACCACCAGCCCAGTCAAGAGTCCACAGTTTGTCGTGGTACATCTTAGATATGCCATATGAACGTTTCTTGGGGGTGGAGACTGGAGCTGATTTTCCTGGAGGGAGGCACACAAAGGGAAGACAGCAAGAGAGCACAACTAAGTGACATGAACAAGCATACATTGCTGCATGGGAGGGGCGAGACGGACACGCCGCTCCTTTAGAGGTCCGGCGTTCGGACCCCGTTTGCACTCGGGGGGGTGGGGTGGGGTACTATGCAAGACGGACCCTCGGTCCCCCGAAGAACGAAGAGGGACCGGTGTTCAGGGAACGCCGGACCCCCGTTCGCATTGTCGGGGGAGGGAGAGGGTGGGGACGACTTCAGATGGATCCCTCGCCCCCTCTCCCCCGCAACGCGAAGGCGGTCCGGTGTTCCGGGAACGACGGACCCCATTCGCACTGCGGGGAAAGGAGAGGGGGGGGGGGGTGGACCACGCGAGACGGACCCTCGTTCCCCTGAAACACGAAGGAACGCCGGACCCCCTTCGCATTGCCGGGGGAGGGAGAGGGGGGGGGGCGACTCAAGACGGACCCATCGCCCCCCTCTCCCCCGCACCGCCAAGGAGGTCCTGCATTCCGGGAACGCCGGACCCCCTTCGCACTGCGGGGAAAGGACAGAGACGGGGGGGGGGGCGAAAGACGGACCCTCCCTCCATTGGCAATGCGATGGGGGCCCGGCGTTCCGGGAACGCCGGACCCCCATCGCATTGCCGATGGAGGGAGGGGGTGGGGGACGACATAAGACGGACCCCTCGCCCCCTTCTCCCGGGCAACGCCAAGGGGTTCCGGCGTTCCGAGAACGCCGGACCCCCTTCGCACTGCGGGAAAGGAGAGGTGGAGGGGGGGATTGCGCGAGACGGACCCTCGCTCCCCCGAAACACCAAAGGGGTCGACTTGAGACGGACACGCGAGACACACACACACACACACACACACACACACACACACACACACACACACACACACACACACACACACACACACACACACACACACTCAATCAATCTACCAATCAATCAATCAATCAATCAATCAATCGATTGGTGGATTG